TCCAATATTTCCGATTGTACATGAACAGAGCATAGACCTAGAGTTTAGATTGGGTGGGCATTGTGAGGCTTTTAAATTGACTATTTATGTTTATGTACTTATTTATTCTTGAAATAAAACTGGTCAAGTTTGGGACAGTCTCATCGTTTGAGTATTTAATGAACAATGCACAATGAACCACAAATAGATTATCATATCATGATTGTAAACCTGTAGCGTTGGTTATGCCAATGAAGACATTTAAACAAAAGACCGAGTTGTGTCAGAAAGGTGGCCATTGATATATACGTATTTTATACTGACCTGTTGCCAATTACAGTTATAGTAACTATAACCCAACACCTGACGAATAACGGTATCCCTGTGAATAATTAGTGTTATTTATGTCCTTTCAAATAAACCTATGCCATTAAAGCACAGTATACATGACAAAACACAATGACCACAAACAGGTGAAAAGAAATCATCATTGTTCTACAAGGGCACGTGGCAAGCTGTGGGTAGAGTTGGTAAGCGAACAATCAGTTCTCGTTTTCAACGTGTTGGGTGCAGGAGAAATGGGCTTCAGACAAATTGTTATGTTCAGATTGAAGTCTGGGTCAGAGCATCTCTGCCACAGCAAGGCCTGTGGGCAGGTCCCGTTCAGCAGTGTAGCTACCTTTATGCAAATCACAACAGTTTTGGGAGAGCAAAAATAAAGACGTATATTCCCTAATGTACATTTAATGCAGTTATTAGTTGGTTATTTTCATATTTTAAAGTACAGTGTTTGATGTTACTTCTTGGCTTGTTTGTAAGAATTGTTAAACCTTCCATAAGGTGGTGAAACAACAGACATCACCATCTTCTGGGCAGTGCTTTTATCTAAATATGAACCAATGACAAGCACCAGAAGGCGGTCCCAGGTTATGTGGGAACGCCCAGATCTGAGTAACGCACAAACACACTCACCTGATGTTAATTGGTAAAGCCATCTGGCAGTGTGAAGTGTGATGCCTGATTAAAAAGTGGTACAGGTCCTTTATTATTTACTGAAAGTAATTTTCATTTAGGCAAGAGTCTCTTTTTTCTGTATTATAAATATTTATACTGCACTTTTGTCAAGAAAGTTTCGCAGAAAGTACAGCATCAAAATGCTCTTTAAAGAAAACCGCTGTCAAAACTTTCAAGCCAACATTTTTTACAAAACCAAATGCCAGAATTGCTTCAGATCCAGAGAAACTCACCTATTAAATAATGATGATTCAAACCAGGTGAGTTATTATTCTGGTATTACAATCAAATGTGTTACCAGACACCATGCTCCTGCGTGGTTACTAGGATTTAAAAACACCCAGTTTGCGTCTTCTGTTGCTTAACGACTTCCGATTTAACTCAGTGTTTCACAAAGTTATTATTTATTTAAAATAAATGAAATAAATATAGAATAGATCTCAAAGGAAGGCTCAAGTCAAGCTCCAATTCTGTTCTCTTTTATTGTAGTAAATGTGGGCCATTAAACACATTAACTATCTGCCCCAAATCCAACATGATGGAGGTTTGATTATTACGCTATTTGTGAACTCGTTCTCCAGTCGGGTTTGGGAGATTCATATAGATATGACAGATGCATATCAATAACAGCATCTATCTTATCTATATATAGGCGATATGTATTGGTCTGATAAGCCATACTTTCCCGAGGTTGTTCCATTTCACTTTTCACACCGCATGTTTACAGCATGTTTTGTCCGGACCTTGGGTTCCTCTTTTATATAATGGCCCAAGTGATTCCTGCAGTTATACGAACTTAACCATGTCCATGCATATTTCTAGGCTATTATTACTTCTTTATTGACAGGCATAATCGCATTCATGTGAATGTCCGCTAAATGTTAAACCCATACCCTCTACTAATAAGACGTATTCTACATCATTGTCCCTTATATTCACATTGTAGTCTAGATGAACATAAACCTGTCTAATCTTAGGTAGATTTATTTAAATGAGCAAATGAGACCAAAGTCTTCATGAAGGCATTCGCTGGTGCATTTCTGAGCAACATGATATTCTGTGTGTTCCAGGCTAAATGTAGAGGATGGCTGCTCCTGGCAACAGCAGGTCAGGACTTTGTGAATCCAGCTCACAAAACGCCAGTAAGGAAGCAAACTAATTTGTATTTCAATGCATTTTTGGAGTACGTGAAATGAACATGGAGAAGTGTTGTCATCAAGCTGCAGTCCAACACTGGAATACTTTATGAATACTGACCCATCATGACTCTTCCACTTCACCCCACTAAGATCTAAATCAAGATGTTCCCCCTTCTTTCTGGAACGTGAATACAATGCTAAAATGAAAAATTGCTGAAATACTTGTTTGTTGAATTTCAGTCAAATGCTCATTTATCTTTTATCGCTTTGTATTTTAATCGTTCTTTTGTCATGTGCATTCTGCCTTTCTGTCCATGTTTAATCAAAAGGGCTTTACTGACTTTACACTAACACGGTTTGTAATGCCAAAGAACAGGGATGGACTGATGTATGAATGAATAGATGTGAATGTGTCCATCACCCTGTCTGATCCTTGTGTTCCCATATAGAAGTGGCAGAGGAGGTTCTTTGTGCTGTATGAGTGTGGTCTTCTGTGCTACGCCTTGGATGAACAGGTGAGAGCCGGGGAACTTTAGAGTTAACTTGCAGGGTCCAAAGTTAGCACTCACCAGTCACTAAATGCCAGTCACTAAATGCCAGTCACTAAATGCCAGTCACGTATTGTCTTTAGCTTAAAAAATCTGTCTGTCTGGTAAAAATGTCCAATCTATCGATCCACAGCCCGGTACCAAGCCCCAAGGCACCGTTAACATAAACCAGTGCTGGGGAGTTGTGGATGAGGAGCTGCGGACTGGACAGAGGAATACTCTCTGCCTCATTCTCTCTGAAGAAAAACAGATCTACCTCCGGGGGCGGAGCAAGGAGGCCATCACAGCGTGAGAACACACACACACACATAACACACACAACCCCCACAGGTACACACACACACACACACTATATGTTAATACATTGGTGGATTATATGGAGGAAGTCTGTGGCCAGCGCTAGCTTGTCTTGATCTGGGAGTGGAACAGATGTTGATCTGTAATGTTGACTGTCCTGGAATAGTATAATGGTTGTTAGAAAACGTACAATTTTAATGGAAATCCAAACCTTTCTTCATTTTGTGATTTCCCTTATTTCACTCTGTCTGTTTTTTTGCTCCTTTACAACTCACCCCTTTCTTGCCTTTTTGTGTGATGTTGTCACACTGCCAGTGTCAGAGCTGTAAATCGGAATGAATCCTGGCGTAATCCGTTAAGACTAATGCAGTTTGTAAACTGTCGGCCCCAGATTAAAGTTGGGGGTGTTAATTTGTGGGTGTGCGTGTACACAGAACTAGGTATCCGTGAATACCACAGTGTTTGTCAGCCACGGTATGTTTTTTTGTTGGACTATTCAGATTGTTCGGTCATGGTCATTCCTTGTTTGATATACTGGTACCGGTCCTGACAGGTGTGGATTTTTGTGGACATCTTTTTGGAATAACTTATTTTCAAAGAACAGGCCATGTCCAAGAAACAGAAGTAAGAGATCTGAATATTTGTCTCTAGGAATATTGTAGCGTTAAGAGAGTTTGATAGCTCTACAGGTCTTGAATGGTGTCATTATGTCTCATAATAAAGTTAGAACAGAACATTTTATTTGTAATATGCATGGACCACTAGATATGAACAAAGAATTTGTCATTGTGAAAAGATCAACATCAAAAATATTACTGTAGGCTCCTTCCACCGGGCACTTGACCGCTGCTGCCTAAAGTATTTGACTGGAACCTTTGTGTCTGTCAGATCCCCTTGAAATAAGTATTGTTTAAACCAAATCATTTTATGTTAGAATATCATAATTAGAATTTCATAAAGCTTCAGGTTGTTCGTGATGTATTAAACTCTATGTTCATTCAATGCCTTTAAGGGATAATCTGCTACTTAAATTCTACGCGTATTACTGCCCGGTTCTCCAATCTGTCTCCCATTTTGTAATGAGTACTGCTCTGGCTATTTCAGGCTTCATCATTACCACTGGTTTCCTCAGAACTAGCTGTTGCTTATATAGTTTTGTGCTGAAACTGACCTTAACTATTTAAGAATTACCCAAAATGTACACAGCATATTATCAGGCTAGCTTGTAATCAAGTGCACCTCGAAGTGCCGGCATGTTCAGGAAGCTACATCTTGAGTCCTAGGTGACTAGCGCTAGTGTCTAGCCTAGATTGCTACCTAGTCTGCTACCTAGTCTGCTACCTAGTCCACTGGTTAGATACCAAAATTGTCCTCTGTAAGCTTGAACTAAAATAGACCAGTAATGTGCCCAACGTACAGAGACAGACATTGGACAACAGATCTGTGACGCTTACCCTTTTTTCTGTGTTGTTAGTGTGTATTTTTTCCCTTTACAGGTAAGCTCAGTCAGAACACATTTTTATTTTACAACGACATCCTGATGTATAGTTACAGGGGATAAAATAACGCATTTGCAACTGGGGTTTATTGAGTATGTGTCACGTTGTCTTAGAGGCTTCCTCTAGAAACAAGTCTGCTTATGTTTGCACCTATGAGTTTACGGTATACGGGTCACTTAGAAATGATTAAAGAAGCAATTACTATTCCAATAGGCAGTTTATCAGTGAATTCTTTAATTTCGCTATAGTACGTATATGTATGGAAAAAAAACTAGGATATTTCTAAATGACTGCAAACTTTTAAACGGTAGTCTAACTAAATTGATAAAGTAACAAATCTGTTCGTATTTATTAACACTTGTGTATTGTTGTCAAGCAGGTGGCAGGAGGCGCTTGTTGTTCATCCTAAAGCCAACAAACTGACCCAGAAGAAGAGGAAAGGGGTCAGTGACACTACAGGTAACCCTATGGCCTGATTTTACACATTCGATCACATTTGTCAGTTTAGCATTTTACAGCATGATGGTTTTGTGGCCAGTTGGTTGAGTGTAGTGCTTACGATGTAGGGTCGTGGGTTCGATTCCCACTAGGGCCTGGGTAGGAATATGCAAGTCTGTCCTCCAAGATGCATCTGGTGAATATGCCGGTAGGTCTTATGTGAGGCTGTGCCACCTTCATGTTCAGACAACTGCGTTTTACCACATTATTTAAATGTGGTATGTACTCGTCCTGGTTTGAAAAGGCACAGAAAACATTGATTTTGGAGTGAACTGTCACTTCAAAGGGATGTTTATGACTGTGTAATCAGCGATGTCTTGACTTTCCTGGTCCGAAGACTCAGCCAATCGATTTTACCCTTTTTTTTAAAATGGTGCAACCACTGATAAATGACCTCGTTGATTGATTCCAGTTTGGTAAGACTGCATATCTCATGATTACACATTTCTCGATTGAGCTCAGGCTCCCTAGAATATCTGATGGAATTATCTGCTGGTTCAGCCTGGTCAGATGAGTGAAAACACTGTATGTGACAGTTGATCTGATGGATGTGTGTGTGTGTGTGTTTGTGTGTGTAAGATGCATTTAGCATGTGTGATTAAAGGCCTGGTCAGATGGCCACATTAACACAATTAGCTGTAGTGATCTCTGCAGGATTAAAGGCCACACCCCTCCTAAAGTAATGAGATTAAGTTTAAAAGCAGCCGCTGTGTCCTATTATTGCACCTAATTTCTGATTAAGTACACTGTTGACAAGGGTCTAAAGTGCTTTGGTCAAAATGAATTGCACTAGCGAATAGCTTATGTTGCCATTTGGGAACGACCCTGAAAAGGAGGTGCTACTCTGGGACTGGGAAGGGCTGGAGGAACATTATTAGGGGATGGGGCGTGGGATTGGACTCAGAGACTGGCTGTGTGTGATTGGAAGTCACTGGGAAGGGGAGTGGTCAATTTGTATGAAGTGCTGTGATTGGAGTAGAAGAGAGATGGGGAATGCAGTCAGTAAGCATCGCTGATGGTAATGGTTTGTTTTCATGGTCGAGGAGTGGCTGTTGAGTGTCTCACAGGTTTCATGGTACTTTTTAATGCTGCACAATCTTTTTCTTTTTCCTTCTCTGGCTCTAGATCTGGCATTCGTTCCATCTCTCAACTACTCTCCATTTGCTCTCACGCATTCTCGTGTCTTTCTCCATTCCCCTCTTTTCCTTCCAGGAGCCGGGCCAGCTAAGGTACCAGTGACTAGTGGCGTTGACCAGCTGGACAGGAAAAATAGTTGGAGTGGTAAAAGTAGTGTGGAATGTGCTGGCAGTGTTAGCGGTAGCTACACCAGTTGTCCTAGTTGTAGCTTTAGCAAAAGTGCTAGCAGCAGCCTCAGCAACTGTGTCAGTACTACGCCAGCTAGTGCTAACACTATCAAAGCCACGGTGGAGAAGACTCCGACTGGTCGCTCCTGGCGCAGCCAGGAGGAGGTGCCGCAGCAAAGGATAGGAGGTGGCAGAGCCAGGACCTTACCCTGCAGCCGTAGCAGCCCATCCATCAGCTCCCTCTGCGCCTCCTCTCCTTCAATCAGCAGCAGCGCCTCCCTCAGCCAGCTCAGCCAAAGCGTCTCCAAAGATGGTAAAAGCAAATTTATGCTCCTGTTTGTTTTTTAATAGTCCAATAAAATGGCCATGTGCATCATGACAGGGTTGTTGCTTTGTGTTACTATGCAAGCAACTGCTGGGAATGTTTCTGTGTTAATTTGTCATAATATTTGTTTTTATCTGGTCAGGTTATTCCAAGAAATATCACAAAATATATGCATCTTTATTTACTTAATGATTTAATTTGACATGATCTTAGAATAGAATAATTCATATTTTGTTTCTTTCATTCTAACGTACTATAATTTTTATTTTTTATCTACAACAGGCTGACGCATATTTTTCAAATATGCTATTCACTGCAAAAGAAAGGGCTAAAGGAACTGAAACCGAATATGAAATGCAGCTAGAATGACTAACATGTTCAACATGGCTCTGGCCTTCACCTTCTGGAGATTGCATGAACATCACACGTTCTTAAACATTGATTTTATTGTTAAAAAGCCCTTTACTTAAAACTTTTTCCGTTCATTCTCCCAAACCTCCTTCCTACAAGTTAATCTGTTTCCTGGACCCAAGTCCCAGACTGAGAGCGGTTACTCCTCGCTGGAGAAGAAAACGCCAGCTCCCAATACCGACCCGCCACCTTCGTCCCTGTCCAGTGTGTCTCCCAGAGACCCCAAAAGGTTTGTTTTTCTTCCCATCAGCGGTCCCCTGGCACCACAAGGCTCTTCCTGGTCCGCTTCCTCCCCTGGCCCACGTGCACAGACTGGCCGGTCCTCAACTGGTTCTGTTTTGGACCGATTATGGACTGGCTACCAATCTGCTACCAGCATGTCTTTTGGCTGGATGAGTGGTGAGACAACCGGTGGCTTGGTTAAGGTGAACAAAGAGAAGATTGAGGAACGAAGTCACGGTTCCACGGCGTTGAAAGCAAACTGTTCTGCCGATGTGCCAAATACAAGACCAACCCGGGATAAAGGGGCGGTGGGTACATTCAGAGGCAAGACAAGTGACAAACTCAACCGAGCGTTTGGTCTGGAATACAGGTGAGATTTCAGTTGTTTTACAGTTTAGTTCATCAGAAGTTGCTGATGACTGACATGGCAAATTGACTGAGCATACTGTTATATGCAATCTGTAACTAGTGAATAACGAAGTAACATGTAGTCTTGTTTACATTATACGCTCACAACACACATACTCTTGTTTTCCAGGTGTTGTCCTGGAGACGCATCCCGCATGTCACTTATCCCTACTAGGACCGCCCCTTCCTGCCTGCTTTCCTCTTCCCATTGGCCAGCCACAACCTGCAACTACACACACCCCACTGCCTACACACTATTGGATCCACAATCACTGTCATGCTCTCATTATACTGAACACATTCACTGTTTATAAAGAAATGAATTGCCCTTAGTATTATGTACATTTTTGAGTTTGTGTAGAAATAGTGTTTTCTGTGTGTATTGTGTATTTTATCTTGTCTGTTTTATACATTCTATATTTTATGACTGTGTTTGTTGGCTTTAGGAGGTCACAGGTGATGAACACCATGGACACTTGCTCTTCATCTGAACCAGCCACCTGTACTGGGTCATTCTCTGAAACCCACTCCTCACGTCAGACCAGCAGACGCAGATTTACAATTAACAAACCGGTACTGATTTGTGGAAAGTGTATTATGCTGTCAGTACAGCCAAAACATTATGTTTGTCCTATAATACCTGTACTATAATACCTGTCCCTGTACTATAATGCCTGTCCCTGTACTATAATGCCTGTCCCTGTACTATAATGCCTGTCCCTGTACTATAATGCCTGTCCCTGTACTATAATGCCTGTCCCTGTACTATAATGCCTGTCCCTGTACTATAATGCCTGTCCCTGTACTATAATACCTGTCCCTGTACTATAATGCCTGTCCCTGTACTATAATGCCTGTCCCTGTACTATAATGCCTGTCCCTGTACTATAATGCCTGTCCCTGTACTATACTACCTGTCCCTGTACTTTAATGCCTGTCCCTGGTCTATAATACCTGTACCTGGTCTATAATACCTGTCCCTGTACTATAATACCTGTCCTATAATACCTGTACCTGGTCTATAATACCTGTACCTGTACTATAATACCTGTCCCTGGTCTATAATATCTGTCCCTGGTCTATAATACCTTTCCTATAATACCTTTCCTATAATACCTGTCCCTGGTCTATAATACCTGTACTATAATACCTGTGCCTGTACTATAATACCTGTGCCTGTACTATAATACCTGTGCCTGTACTATAATACCTGTACTATAATACCTGTCCCTGGTCTATAATACCTGTGCCTGTACTATAATACCTGTACCTGTACTATAATACCTGTCCCTGGTCTATAATGCCTGTACTATAATACCTGTGCCTGTACTATAATACCTGTGCCTGTACTATAATACCTGTCCCTGTCTGCTAAATTATTTAATCATAAATGCAATCTCTGTTCTAGGAGCTGTGCTTGGACTCAGCGGTGAGGCGTTCTGCCACAGATGTCTCCAAATCGTCCATGCCTCACTTTCGCCGCACAAAATCCCTGGACCGGAGAGGTGCAGAAGCCACGGTATGTCTGGCTTCTGGGGAGATCTACTCTCTTAAGCTGGACCCAGGCAGGTCCCATTAACTAATGTTCTGGTTGGCCAAGAACCAATACTGTCAACTGCTTCAACTTTTGATACCATACCTGTATTGAGTTGCCCGGAGACTGGGAAGGAGTATTTGGAGTTATTGTTTGTTTGTTTACTGGGTTCAGAACCAGGACATTTGGACTTCTGTACAGAAATACAGGTGATCCTGGTGAACCGTAACAGATAACATTGTTTTAAGATGTTAACGAAATGTCTCCCATCCCAGCCGGACCTTCTCAACTTCAAAAAGGGCTGGATGAGCAAATTGGCAGAAAATGGCCAGGTGAGCTGTAAATGAACATTGAGTGTGTAACTGTTGTGTAACTGTTGTGTAACATTGTGTAAGTGTGTAACTGTTTGTGCGTCTTAACGATCTTTTTCTTTTTAAACTGTTGAGTGTTTATCAATCTTTTAGTGGAAGAAACACTGGTTTGTTTTGACTGACCAAACCCTGAGGTTCTACAGAGATGCTGTTGCTGAACAGGTATGCATGATCTAATATATTATCATCATTTCAAATTGTCTACCAAATTTGTTTGAGAAAATCTATTTGTGTGTAAGAGAGGGAGAGCCTATCGCCTCTGCCTATCCTAACTGGTAATTATGTATCGTATTTAATTTCAGGCCGGCCATGTGGTTGGCGAGGTTAACCTGTCAACTTGTTATGACATCACAGACTATCCAGTTAAAAAAAACTACGGTTTCCAGATTCATGTGAGTAGACGTGCATCCTTTAATGTTCTGTACACAAGAGATGACTCATCACATTGCATCTCCCCTCCCCTACACCCAGATGGCAGACGGAACGATCACCCTGTGTGCCATGACCTCTGGGACCCGGAGG